TGAACAATTAGAAAGTAAAGCAATTTGTGTTCGTGTGATTTCCTGAAAGGGTTGTTGATTCCAAGAAACTTGCCAAGATGCATTGCAGGATAGCATTTTTAATGAAAAATTGTAGTTTTTATCATTCCTAGAGTAAATAAACAAAGCGATTTTGGTGACCTTTATTGAGTTTCACATAAGATTTGTCATACTTCTTTATTCATATTTCTGAACTTCAGGGCTAAGTCAGAATATTACTGGTGGGAAATTTTTGGTGCGTAAATTGTTGAGGGAACAGAACTTGATTCTTGTTGAAAGTAAATTTTCTTGAACTAGTTAGACTTCAAAAAGAAATTTCAAGGTTGTGATCTAGTTGTGACTTGTGTATAGTATTGAAAAAAGGGTGTAAACAATGTCTAGTGTTGTCTTTTCACTTGTTTACTGATTTCTATGCGTAGGATGTATGAGGATCGTTAAAGAGCAACTCCGTTGGGGAGCAAAATCAGAGCTCAAAGCAGAAGTTCTTCGCGGAATAAAGGAGATTGGAAGTGTATTATATTGGATGGGGCTCCTTGATATTGTTTTGGTTAGTTCCAAATTTCCTTATTATTGAGTGCTACCCCAACTACTTGCTCTAGGGGTAAATATGACATGAAATATTGTATAGATATTGCTAACTCTTTTGCTTGTAAATAAGTTTAAAAGTAACAATGTCATGCATCTAGCTTAAAACAAAATACTGATAACTTGATAGGTGCAAAAGCCTAATCTGATACAAGCTTATGATTTACTTGAAAACTTAAGTAGTGTAAAACAACAATGCAGAACTTGATCATATTAATTTTCCCGTGTAACTTATTTGTGAATATACTTGCAGTTTTCTTGTTTCATGGTAATCCAGTCTTTATTTCCTATAGTATATTTTAAGGCTGAGGCGGTTATACTATTGGTGTATGCCCTTTCTAGAATGGATAAGGAAATAAGATTAGTAAATGAGTACAATCAAGCATTTTTAAATATTGTTGTACTAGTGTAGAAAAGGATGTTTGAATTTACTTATGGGGGTGGTGAAGTCTTTTTCCTTTCTCTAATTTACCGGATCCTATCAGAAACCCAATGCACACAATGATATTGTACCTTATTGGTGTTGTGTGGACAATTCTAATCATTAATACATTGCATCAATTTCTGATTTGATCAGTGTTCTTGTTTGTGCATTTAACTTTTGTAAGCTTCCTTTATAGAGAGAGTTGGGTACCACACATTTCATGCAAACAGCACCTTGGTTGGGCTTGCTTCCTGGTGCAGATGGGAAAATATTGCATTCACAAAATGGTGGAGACAGCCCTGTTGTCAACCTCTTCAAATCTGCTACATCTGCAATTGTGTCGAACCCTAAGTGCCCAAATCCAACCTCTTTTTACACAATGTCAAAGCAGGCAGAAGCTGCAGGTATTGCATATACTTCAGTATTTCTGTCATCCTTTGAGGCTACCTAAGACTTGCTAAACAGAAGGAAATGGTCAATTAATTAAATCTTGGAACAATTTTCTGCCCTGTAAAATTGGTTTGTCAAAATTAAGAAATATATTTTTGTAACTGTGAAGTAATATTATCACTCATCTGTTAAGTATTGAGTTTCTTGTGGTCTTATATTAAAGTTGGGTCCTTCCATCTAAAGTGAATTGGTTTTACGTTAGATCTTTGTTACTTATGCCAGGTGTGAATGTCGGACATGAGTATGTACCCGCCATGTGTATGCTCTTTTGTTTTAAAAAAAGTTTTCCATATATTCAGAGGGTCCTTTTGAGGTCTTGCCCCCATACCCATGCACCAGACATAGGTATGTCAAGAGAAATGAAGAGTCAGAGCAACGTAGGGTTAGGTGTTTAAAATTGTATCAAGGCCTAGGTTTTGTTATGTTCTTCCTGCCTAATCCATGTGAGGTTGATGATACCTGCTGAGGTGGTCCAAGTGCAGTTCACTTGAGCTACATGTGAGGGGGAGTGTTAAGTGGTGTTATCCGGTTGTCTTATGTTAAAGTTGGGTATCTCCACCTAAAGCTAACTGGTTTAGATAGGATGTTTAACAATATCCAATCCAGACCTCAAACTATTCAAGGAAAATTACAAGCAAAACCTAGGTGGAATATGTGGTCAAACAGTTATATGTAGTAAGATGCAGTAAGTGTTTAAATACTTAATCTTTCACTCTTGAATAAGAACTAGCCACTATCTCTCTGTCTTCTTTTTTGCTTCTTTTTCTAAGGTTCATGTGTCTTCCTTGTGCCTCAGATCTTTTGTACAAGGCGAACTTAAATACAGGAAGTGTGTTAGAATATGCACTTGCATTTACAAGTGCAGCATTAGATAAATACTGCAGTAAATGGAGTGCTGCTCCAAAGACCGGGTTCATTGATATCACAACTTCAAAGGATTTCTATCGTATATATAGTGGCCTCCAAATTGTAAGGAACAACCTTCTATAAACCTGAACATGAATATATCCATATCTTATCTCAATGAGTGAATTCATAGTCTTGCAATGTCTCAAACCCTTTAAGAGGGATCTGTATTTACTGCTTATAAATCTGTTGACAATTATTTGTTTCCCACTTTAATATGTTGCTTGAATTTCAAAGCACCTTTCCCATAGCTGTGATTTGATAAGTACAAAATATTGCTTTAATAATCTTCTGGCTTTAGGACTTACTGATAATTTGATTCTTGTTTCTAGAGGTTTTGATAAGATTATGTTAAATTTAAAGCTTCGGTTTTTATTCCAGCTAAGCATTGGGCTCTACATAAAGTCTGGAAGTACAATTTGTTATTTCTATTTAAGTGATCATATTATTTAATGTGACCAAAATGTTTGAATTGCTATATAAGAAGGGTTTGCCTACCATCAAAAAGTTCCATATGTTACTCTGACATGGTGGTGTATTTCAGATCTTGGTATATGTCTGACATGAATATGTTGTATTTTTTTAGTTTTTCTATATATTATAGGTATTTTATCCCCATATTCATGCTATGTATGGGTACAAAACTACACCTTGTTCACCCTTAAAAATGTATGATTTTCAAGGTATTCAGCAACCACTGATTTTTTCTGCTTCTTGAACAATAGGGATACCTGGAACAATCTGTTCAGTTACAGCCTAACAATCATGATATGTTGGGCGACTCGGTTGCTTGGGGTGGCTGTACTATAATATACTTGCTTGGCCAACAACTGCACTTTGAGCTATTTGATTTTTCATATCAAATCCTAAACGTAGGTGAAGTTGAAGCTGCATCAATCACACAAACACATAAAAGCCCTCATTCTGGCCAGGTACAAGTTCTTCATTCTGTTTTATCGTTTATGCATGATTATTTGTAACCAAAGGTTTATAAGTATATAGAAAACCTAGTTCAGAATTTTCTCCCTTCTGATTATGACTTATTCTAAATGAAGTTTGGGCTCTAGGACTAGGATAAAATTGTGATACCATCTCAATCCTGTATCGGGATACCCGCTTTGATACATATGTAGAAACTTAAGCCTATACTTGGGAGCACCTTTCGTGGGATAAAATTGTGCCACTTTGGAGTCAAAACAGACATCTCACAGGTTAGATGCGGATCACCACAGTAGCAAGTTGAGAACGAGTTTGTGACCTATCACTTATGTCGTGGGGACGAATTCTTGAGTCTCATGACAAAATGACCAGAAATGATTTTTTTGCATGCTTGTGTGTTCTTTATATTACTTGTTGCTAATGCCAATATAGATCTGTTTTTTGCCCCCCCACCTCCGTAAATTTAACGGGGTTATAAAATTAAATTAAAAATATGTTTGTGAATTTTGAAAAGGGGTGGGATTTCCTGCTAGAACCAATGAAGAAAGCAAGGAGGTTGAACAATCACGTATTTTCGATGCTGAAAGCACGTTGCCCTCTCGAAGACAAAACAGCTTGTGCTATCAAGCAAAGTGGAGCCCCTCTGCCTCGGATTAAGTTTGAGAATACTGTTTCTGCATTCGAAACACTGCCGCAGAAAGGTACCTGAGTGAGTTTGTATGTGTTCTTCTCGAGCAATACACTTTGGAAAGAACAAAAATTATATATCGACATCGCAGGCACCGATAAGACAACGAAAGATCATGAGCTTCCAATTCTGCCATTGTATCTTTTGTTCTTTAGGTTAGGGACCTTATTTTTGTACGCTTTGCTCTTTTAGTTCTTCAAGAACACTAAGATTTGCAATATAGTGCAACACAGACAAAGGGAAATGTTTTAACAATTGTGGACCTACTGATAACAAGAGGAATTGCTTCGAAACTTGGGTTTTAATTCAGTTGGCTTATGTGGTTACTTTTTTGGTCGAATCGAAATAGTCGGTTTATATGGTCATAAAGTGTCAAATAAAATTATTTAAAAATATTATTGGATTATTGACTATAAAAGAGATAATGATGTAGAAATTAAAAAACCGATAAAAATTATCACATCAACAATATTGTTACTTTTTTTAATTGTTGGTGATTCAAATAAAAACAAAACATAATGTTTTGTACGATTTAAAAATAATAATTTGTTGATCAAAATAAAGAATGTAAGAATGGACAGATGACTAAATAGGTAAGAAATCTATCTTAAATAAATTATTGGAGGTCAACGACACGATGAAGATTCTGATATGTGAAGGGGGTTTAGTAGTTTAAAAGCTATAATATTGAAATGTCCTCCTGATGAATACTGTGTTCATTTCTTTATTCATCGATTGCACTTGATATTAGTAGGAGCCAATAAAAAATGATTAAAATTGATTAGACTTGACAATAGTTTAAGGAGATTTATATAGAATACTTTAAAATTAAAGAATTAATTTAAAATAAAAACGGTAATTTAAGAATTAATATAAAACATCTTAAAATTTAAAATAAGGCTATAATTTAGATGTTATTTCTATAAATAATTATAAATCGAAAAGCAGTTTAAGATTGGTATTTGAATAAATAAGGCTCGGTAAGGATCGGGCCTTTTCTTTCTCCCTCGGTGCTCTACGGTCACTGCAAATTCTCAAAACACCATGAATCCTTCTTCAATGCAACCCTTTTTTCCTTCCCAAAACCCTAACACTAATTTCCCGATTGTTTCCCTTCCACAAAACCCTAACCCTATTTTCCATTCATCTCTCTCCACAGCTATGTCCTCCCTCACCTCCCTCGTCTCTCTCTCAAACCAAACCCTCAGTTCCCATTCTACCCTCACCAAATCCCTAAACCCCGACCTTGTCCCATGTCCTTCCAACCCGAATCATCTCCTTCCCCCCGAGTCCCTTTTCTCCCATTTTCTTCACTGCCCTTCCTCGCAAAGTGTCGATTTGTACCCCCCAAATTACCGTGATACCCTCAATTCCCCTTTACATTTACATCCCCAGGACGCCGTTTTCCTGGGGGAACAACGCTCTGAACTTTGCCTCTCTTTAGATGGTTACTTTTCTGATTTCGGTTCCCATTTCTTTTACAAAGATTATCCTGGTGTTGTCAGTTTGTTTGATATTGATAACAACACTAAAGCAACGTTTACTTTGCCTGCTTTGTTATCGGTTGAATGCCTTAATTGTGAGGGTTCTAATGAAAGAGAGAGTAAGTTTAGTGAAAGAAAGGGTTTAGCGATTTTAGCTTCGGGTTTATGGGACATTAGGATGGAAGTTGAGAGGTGGGGTGATTGCCCCGCTTCGTGTTCGCTTAACGTTGCTTGTGGAATTTTGGGGTCGAGAATGGTGAAAGGAAGAGATTTGAAGAAATGGATAATTGCTAATTCACCAAGGTATAATATTGTAATTGACGAATATATGGGGCATCATATAGTTTTGTTGGTTAGGTTGTGTTTGAAAGCTATTGTGAGGGAAGCTAATTGTTTAGTGGAATCGAGGATGGAAGAAGAAGAAGCTAAAGCGAAAAAATCGAATGTGAATATGGGGCATAGAATGTTTGAATCTCCTGTTATGCTTCAAGTTATAATGTGGCTAGGTTCTCAGCTTTCTGTTTTATATGGTGAAATTAATGGGAGGTTCTTTGCAATTAATATGATCAAACAATGCGTGTTAGAAGGATCGTCAAGGTCGTTGTTGTTTCCAACGGAAGAAAAGCTGGTTGATTCACTTCATTTGGGACAAGAGTCGAAGAGCTTGGATACTAATGGTGTTGAGGGAATTAAACTTCAGGAGCCAATTGTGCGAAGTAATGAACCAATTAAAACAGTTGATGAAAATATTGGTGCTGTGGAAATATCTGTATCCCAGGTAGCAGCAGCAATTGCGGCACTGCATGAACGGCGATTCATAGAAGAGAAAATAAAGCATTTACGGGCTTCCCTACCTCCTTCAAGATATCAGCGGTTAGTTACTATTTTCAGTTCTGTCTTTAGACAATCTGCTGACTATTGTTTTCTCAAAAGTTCTTATAAGTTATAAGCTTGCCATGTTATCTTCTTCATTCTTTTCATTTATCCGTCTTTTTTGCAATTCCATATCATTTTTCTTTACTATTGTTTTATTGTAGTGATGACGTGTCTTAGTTTGATTTGTTACAAAAAAAACTTAAATAGAGGCCTCCATGATGTGTAGGATGACTGAACATGCAAATGTTTCAGAGAAAGCTGATGTGGAGAGGAAAAAACGTCCTAATTACAGACCCATAATTGATCATGATGGGCTTCCTCGGCAGGCATCATCCAATGAGGTAGAACATCCTTCACCAAAATTTTTCAGCTGTACTTTGCTTTAGAATTTGAACTTTGATGCTATGCTCTAACAAATTGGCTATCGTCTTTCTCTTGATTCTACTGGAACGGCTTAGGATAAAGATAGCCTAAGCTTGTACTTATTGTTCCTTCTTTGTATAAAGAGAAAAGCTAAGCATCACACATACGGTTCCCTAGGAGTTGCACCTCAGGATGATCGCATCACAATCTCATATCAATAAAATCCTCAGGATCAGAACCTTTTTTTAAATGAAATAGTACAGTGACATTTTTATAGGCTTTGGAGGAAATACTAAGATTTTTAATAGAATAATAAACTCAGCTTACTCACAAAACCTAATTGGATTGAAGAAGACACAAATGTGGTAAACACTAATATAGTTGTAAAATGCCAAATATTGCTCTAGATATTTAAAATATTACAATTAGCCCCTAAATACAAGAGTTTCAAAATAAAATCCAAGTAAGCTTATACCCCTCAATTAGATTATTTGTGTTCTGCATCAACTACTTTATTTCTTCACAGTTCTTTTTCTGTTTGTTTGTTTATGTAAGGAGTCAAATAGGACTAAAACAAGAGAGGAGATATTGGCTGAAGAAAGAGACTACAAGAGACGGAGAATGTCATATCGTGGGAAGAAATTAAAGCGGACAAAATTAGAGGTGAGAAGGTTTTTTGAAGTGCGATTACTTTTTGGGATTTTGCTCTCATATTATATTTGCTAATTACTGGTTCAACTATTAGAGATGCTTTCTTTTTATTTATTTATTTTTTACAAATGCATCTTCCATCTCAATTGATTGAGAAGCCTCCATTCTTGCCCAGAGAGAGACGAGATTTTCATTTCATAATATCTTGTCCATCGTTCCTGTGTTAAAATTCCAAAATGTTCAGTCAAATTATATACCTTAGTTGAAGGGTAATTTTTAGGAGTTATTATTTAGAAGGGATTTAAATTAGGTAAATGTAGAGTCAGTTAATTTGCAAGGTTCTTGTTCTTCTTATTTAATGCTTTATGTTATTCCTAATATTTTTAATAGGTTATGAGGGATATAATAGAGGAATACACAGAGGAAATAAAAAAAGCTGGGGGCATTGGTTGCTTTGTCAAAGGAGCAGAAGAAGAAAAGTTGTTATCATCTGAATCACCAGTTACTTATGGCCGTGCAGCGGATGATGCTGAGCTTAGAAAAGGTACCAGTGATATTTCTGAAGCAGTGAGAGGTAGCCCAAACCATTACAGGAGAAGATCACACATGGAGCAACATAGTAGATCTTCAAGATTTGAGGATTACCCACGGAACGATCTTGAGCAACCAAGAAGGCATGAGCACCGTGATCTTGATGATCAAAGGAAAAGGACTGGTAAAGAGAAACACACAGAAGACAATTATGGAAACTCAAAAAGACACAGAAGTCATGGGGGGTCAGATGAGCGAAGAAGTCGTAGAAGGGAACACGATGATGTAGAATCCACAAGAGCCACGCACTATGAGAGAGGAAGTCGATCTAATACTTCTAAATATAAGGACTACAAATCATATTCTGTTTCTAATTCTTTGGATGACTTTCCATTAAGAAAGGATGACTTGAAGTTGGGCAGTAGAGAACGGAATCGAAGGAACTCTTATGAGAATCATACTTCAGGCTCCAGAGGACATAATGGATTTGATGATAGATATAATCCTTTAGAATCTGAAGACATGTATGATGATGATGTCCTTGGTGACAAGTGTGTCAGACCAGAATGATATCTTGGATGTGCCTGCAGACTCTCACAAATGAACCATAGCCTTATTAATGTATAAAAACTCTCGTAGTTCCCTTTTTGGGGGTGAGTTTATCAGTTATCATCCTTTAGATCAGATCTGGTACATTTATTTATATATATATTTTTTGACCTGGTTACTTTAATAACTTTGCACTTTTGCAGTTTGAAGTCATCAGGCTTCAGCATATCTCAATACGTAGCCTCCTTTGTATCCTTTATTATATGTATAACTTTTACTGGGGTAGCTGCTGATGGTACACTTTGATTTTGATGTGTGCTTCTTGTTTTTTACCATTCTTACCAAACATAACAAAGAAGCCCTAATATTGGCTTCTTTGTTTTCAGTATCCTTTTTTCTCCAAGACATTAAAATCATTATCATGACTTTATTCATCTTAAAATTTTCATTAGGGCATTAAGTGCATATTAATGTCTTTATCCATATTCTCATTTTTTTGTGATAATTAGAGGTTGCTATGTATTTATCTTAAGGTTTTGCTGTACTTTTTCTAACGAAATCTTACAATAGAGTAGAGAGACGAATACCAGAAAAAAAATACTAAAACAAATTGTGCAATTAAGGTTAGTTGTTGACTAAGAAGAATCTTACAATTAGGTGAAATGTGATATGATTCAGATCTTTGCCCTAGCTGTTGTCTCTCTTTAGTACCAGATTAATGAAACCCAAAATACTTTGTTATGGCCCCAATTTGGTTTTTTTGCTATACATTCAGGAAGTTGCAGGTACCATATTATACCTAACCATTCACTTGATTCAGGTTGTGAGCAATGTTGCTATGCTCTGAACTTCGTCGACTTTCTACTATTGAGATCTTTATTTTCTCTCTGTTGTTTTATGGTGTTAAAGTTTGAAGTTTATTAGGAAGCCAAATAGAAAGCGTGCATATATTAAAAAATGTTTCCAGAAGAATGGGGTGCAAATCATTTGGCTAATGTTGAAAAAGACATTAGTTGAAGATTCTACAGGTTTGGCATGGTATCTCATGGCCTTAAACTATCCTTTTGCTAAAATTCTCAGGCAAACATGTCACCTTCATTCTCCTCCTCATCGTCATCGAATATGTTTTCATGCATATTCTTGCTGTCCTTGTTGATTTACAGTTTATGTTTTTTACTTGTAGATTGCAAGGGATGACTTTTGGCTTTCGTTGGCCCTTACAGAGGGAGGAAGGAGTGTGGATATTTTTCCGCTTATGTTCAACTCTTGTGGCATTCGAAAGCTGCATTTGGTCCCGACTAATCCATAGTTGAGCTATGTCAATGCAGCTCCCGACTAATCTAGGGTTGAGCTAGGTCGAACCACAAACAGATGAACACTCTCACAATGTCTACTTTAATATGTATATATGCACTTACCAATCCCATTTTGTTTTATTGTGCTTCAAGTCTCAGTTCAATGAATGATACTGATACAAGCTCTGTTTTTTTTAATCCATTCTTAAACTTATAATAACAATGTTTTATGTTCCAATCTCCGATTATGATACAACTGAGCATACAATGTTAATGTAGAGGTTCATATTACATAAACTTTGTTAATTTTGAATAACCTTATACAATATAGCATGTTTAAGTATGGTATATTTAACGTTTACTATAAAACAAATTGTAACTTATTTATTTTTGAAGAAAACTTGTAATTTATTTATAATTAACACGAAAAAGAAGTGAATTTAACTTCCCACGATAGAATATCATCATATGATTTCTTCACCTACTATATTAAAAATTGCATTAACAAAAATTTATGGGGCATTATCTGAAATCTCAAAGACTATTTATTCACAAACATTTCCCAAATGCTATTTTTCTTTTAAAAAAAAAATTAACAGATGCAAACCAAATTATTTGAAAACAATAGGGAAAAGTTCTTTTGACAAATAAGAGATGATTACGTGGCAACAGATAATTGGTCATCCGAATGGTAGTCAGTCAAATGTTGTTGTGACCTAATCTTTGTACCTCTCCTGGTAATACAATCATCTCCCTTTAGTTGGCAGCTTCGGCTGATAGTTGATACAGTGGAACTATTGAAGTGTATATATATATAGAAAGAAAGAACATTAAGAAAATTCAATCCAACCCTCAATTTTTTTCTTTTCAAACAGAATCCCACTTTCTTTTTTTCATTGGTTATGTAAACTATGATACTCTGACTCAGGTGTAAGTCTGATACATGAAGATTTTTCATGTAAATTTAGAGGGTCCTTGGAATGCCATATCCCGATAACTATATTCGAGTATTTTTTCAAACATGGAGACTTTACGAAAAATGAAAAGTCGGAGTGACAGAGATTTAAGATGAAACCGATAAATCTTATCTTCATAAACATTGCAATCCACTTGTTATGATCCATTCGTATCTTAGTTCAACAATGTCTTAAGAAATAGAGAGAGCAACAAATTCTTGACACGAACATTTTCCTACAAAAGTACCTGGCGTTGCCAGCATCCAAGACTGTCATTGAGTACTTAATTCAAGATCATGCCAGGTATTGCTATCCACTTGTTGAGTCTCATGATCTGAAAAATTTTGGTAAATTTGAAAAGAAAAGGACAAATATTAGATAAACTAAATCTATTCCAAAACACTATAAGAATTCACAAGAGAAACTTGCTAAATTTTTCTACAAACTTGGCATACATTGATGCATAGACTCGTATGTTCTCAGCCATACACAGGAAAGAAACATGGGCATTTACATAACTAATGATAGATGTGTTTTCATAATGACATTGATAGAAAAAATGTATAATCCAATATTCATAAACATACTCGAGTCCTCGGTATCATCAGTGCGAGCAATCATTACGGGTGGGAGTTGAAGATCTGCATTAGCCAGTAACAAGATAAAGAAATCAACTATGAAGTCGAAAACAATCAAATAAGATCATCTTTCTATGCCCCAAAACACAATCAGCAGATATGCGACCGACAGGTTTTCATGCTTTTCATGAAAAATATATGAGAAACATAAAGCTGCTCGAGGATACATCCAATTCGGATTCACCTCCTCTAAATACTCTACAGTAATGAAATCACTGTGGTCCTATGTTACTCTTACTCATCTTTCTTTAAATACCCATGTCCGACACATACAAGGGTATTGGGATATATCCTCAAAGACACTCCAAATACATGGAAACATTATAAAATACTGAACATACCAAGTTGGACCGAAACTCAAGTCAGACTCACAGCGAGTCCAAGTGACAGTTTTGGTGTAACAAGCAGCAACCTTTTAACACAAAGGGAAGAATGGTACTTCGTAATCAATGTTAAACTACCATCTTATCCTCAAATGAAAACATCTATGCAAGAATTATAAGCCTAATTTTAATATAACCAACTAACAAACAACACATGATCTATATGCAAATTTACCTGCTTTTGTGACCAATAATAAACTGGAACTCATGCAATAATCTACTCAGGCAACAAGATAATCATATTCAAAAGCAATAGTCTAAACATGATGAATACCAAACACATATGAACTATATCTATAACCTGGTTCTATAGCTGATGTAAAACATTTACACAAAAATTTTCAAGCGGGTTTTTGAAATAAACGATACCATCATCAGGCAGAGTATCTCTCATCCATTCCTCATCAACAATATCTATGAGTATACCAAGGCTCAGTTCTGCCATCTTTTGCCCTTCACTTCAGTAATTACCCATCAAAAATGCAGAAATATAAACACTCACAGGTTAAAAGATCAGTATTTCAAAGTTTTAACCCTAGTTATTCTTCCAAAAGATTTTTTAAAAAGAGACCGCTACAACAAATTTAACATCCAGAGTTCTTTTGCTTTGAATTACCAAATCCCAGATTGGAAACAAAACCTAAAATTTCGTTCCTTTAGCAAAAAGTGGAAAACTTTGAGCCGATCTGTAACTGTTCTTTCGGCGTTGCTTTTGGTTAAAAGATATTTTATCAAGCATGTGGAAGCATAAAAATCGATGGGCACTTACAAGCGAAAAGAAGCTGGTGTAATTGAAATTGAAAGTAAGAGGAAAAAAATATACCTAATCGAGAAGTGAGTGATGACGATGATGACACTTTTGTTTCGTGCTTGTTGACTTTTTCAAATGATCTTTGCTGTTTGAAGTTTGAACTTGGAACAGTTTTCCCTTTTAAGTGGCAACTGAGTCACTGACAAGGCAACTACTTAAATAAAAAAAAGGGGATAAAGCACACATAAGATTACTAATGTTTGAATAAGTTATTATTTTTGTTAAAATTTTAAAAATAATAATTGATCACTAAAATTGTCACTTTGTAAAAAAATATTATTAATATTATCGATATGTAACAAAACGGTCATTAATATTATTGATTTATAACAAAATTATCACTCCATTATCATCCTCATTAAATTAATGATGTAATAACGTTAACAAAAATATTAATATTTAATTTCACCCCTAAACTAATGCTAAAACATCAAATGCCCTTAGACAATGATTTAATATCTAATTTACTCAACTTTCTAATTTTCAGATTTGTAGTCTTTATTCTTACTAATGCTTTTGTAATCTTTATTCTTACTGCAGCACCATACTGCTAATTTTCAGATTTGTTATAAGATTTGGTTTCAGAGATGAAAATGGGTTGTGAAAAACAAATTAGGAAGTGTCGAAAGATTGAATTTCTTTAAAAATTTCTATTCATGGAATCAAAATAAAAATTTTGAGTATAACGATTGCTGATGGCGGTCGACTGATGGTCGATTATTAAGAACGTTGATTGAAATTTGAGTTAGTGTGTATGCAACTAAAAATTAAAAAAATATACGAAATCAATTAAAATAATAATAAAAATGCCAAAATCAGCACATTGTTAGAGAAAATAACAATTGAGTGACTGAAAAATTTAATATCTAAAGTTTAATGATTAAATTAGAAATTCATATATTTTAATGATTAAAATAAGAAAGAATAAAGTTTAGTGAGAAATTTAATTTATCCTTTTAAATAATATATATTCAAACTAAACGACGCCCACGTGAGGTGTCTGACACAATCTACAAATAATAAGCCTAGATAAAAGTAAATAATAATCATACCCAAGGCAAAATCGTCATAATTCTCACAACAATTTCTCTTACTACAACCTTATTTTTTTAAGTAAAATATATTTGTCGAAAACAAAAAGAAACAAGTCACTAATTGAGACTACAATTATTACTACATGTATAGCACTATATACATTAAATTTCTGGAAAACAAATCTCTTGTTTTTCAAGCTCAATTAATCATGTTGCACAAGCGAAGCATGAAAAGAATCCTGGTTTTTTCTTCTGCATTTTAAACAACAAATATTAACATGTTAAATAAAGAAAATATTCTAATAATATTTTTATTATCATTTATTGAAAAATATTCTAATAATATTATAAACAATAATATAATCAATTTAATCTAAAGTTAAATAAATAAAATAAATCCAAGGTACCCATAGATGAGAGACCTTCAATTGGAACCAATAACGTGTTGACAAAGGAATCCATGTGCCCCACCATAGTTCATGATCATTATTATGTCCATGACCAAAACAAAAGACAACCGATGAATTTGGGATTAGGTGGGTTTGATGGATTGAAAAATATGTCTCCTTTTTCATTAATTAAACAAGATCCACAGAACAGGAGTTTAAATAATTATTTAATCTCGTTTCTCCATTCAAATTAATATGTTTTGTTTATCGATTAAATTTTAGTTCATTAAATTATTATTCAAGAGAATATGATTTAAATATGTTTAAATACATAGTATGGTTTTTTAAACAATTCCCATCAGATGTCTAAATAAGTTATGTTAGCAAAGTTAAAATGATGGTTTTTTTAATAAAATAATGATTTATATTTTATTTTTGAAATGAAGATTTATATAAATTAAATATTTTATTATAGGATATGGAATATATTAGAGAGTAAGTTAAAGGAACTTACATGTTTGGAAGAATAGAGGATCTCGGCGGGAATTTCGTAGAGATCTTCATCAACTGGTTTGGGAGTTGTGAGAGGAAATCCTTTACGAGGAACAACGTCGACGTTCTCAACCTGCTTACTGCATTTATCATTAATATTGTTCGGAACATTCACATGATGTTTCCTTGGCGGTTCCGTCACGTTACAAACTCCGTCCGCCGTTTTTTCTTCCGTAACCAGCGGCCCTCCTCCTCGTTTTTCTCTCACCTGCTAAATGCCACCGTCCCCACCACCTCCGTTTTTATTACATACATTTATTCAGCAACATTAATTACTGACATACACTTTCAAATTCTATTACTTTATCTTTTATCATGCATTCCCGTTAATTCTCGTCCTTCAGATCCTCACTATTGTCTTATCTAAGACCTCCATCATTATTCATCTAAACTACAGTTAAAACAGTTGATTGCAGAAAATTAATGAAGAAGATGGGAGCCAAACTAACCTTTCTAACAGGAACATGATTACGAGAATGTTTGGTTTTTAAATCGGCAGTGTATAGGTCTCGGAGACCGTTAGGTTTCGGATTTCCTACACGAACCAAACCAGCTTGTCGAGCACATTCAAAGTACTGAGTTATGGGCAACTCATTTGCATAATCCCAGTTTCCGAATGCTGGTATCTGCCCACTTCGCTTGCGATTACAACCCTAAGAAAATCACCACCGTAGATTTAGCTTTAACGAAGATATTCCAGATTCAAACAATAAGAAGAAAAACAACTTACATCCATGGTGGTCGGCTCTGTATTTTTTTTAAAGGCAAAAGACAAAAGTAAGTTGCAAAGGTGACTTTGAAGGGGTGTTTTTAAAAGAGAAATATATGGGGATTGACAAGGAAGTTACAGAAGATATAAAATATAGGCTCAGAAAGTAGAATGAAGCACGGAATTACAGATAAAAGGATAAGAGTTCAGTTATTGTCTCTCATTGAAACACAGTTGTATCAGAAGAAAGGGTATATAAGATATTAAAAGTGTTGAAAAGGAGAGAAAAGATGGGCATAAAGTCAAGATTTAGGGCCTCGGTTGGTCAACTTTTTAACATTATACTAACATGAGAATTTTTTTTTAGTTTAGCATGATTAAAATATAATATATGTTTAAAAAACTTTCAATCGTTTTATGAAAATGTTGAAACACTTTCTACAACCGTCATGCTGCTCAAACCTGAGATCTCTATAATTAACAATTATTCTTTTAACTATTAAAGTCGTTTGATTCATACTACTAACATGGAATTCAAATAACATTTCCACTTATATCAAGAATATTCTTTCAAATGGGTACTTAAATTATTTTTTATTTTTAAATTAATATTTAATTTTTATTGTTTTATATTTTTATTAACGATGTTAACTTCTAATGATATGATAAGACTATATCATGTGTTAAATGTGATGTCATCTAATGTAAATTTTAAAAAAATTAAAATGATAAAAAATATAAAAAATATTTTTTTAATAGAATTCAAATTTAAGTATCAATTAATTTGGAAGCCTTTTAATTGTAATAATTTTCTTACTAATTTAATAGTAATTTATACTTGGCGCTTTTTCTATTATAGTTTCATTTTTTTTAGAATATTTGTTTCTGTTAGAAACATATACATTGGATATGATAGTAAGATAGGAAATAGGTTGGTAAAATAATCCGAATTTACTGAGAATGAAAAAGATCTTTTAATAAATTTGGATTCGGTGATGAGATTAATTCGGGCTTTTATTATTATTATTATTATTATTATTGAGGTTAAGTGCAGTTTTAGACTAAATCTGGCGCGAGTACTTATTAAGATACATTCTTTTAGTTTTATAATTATTTAGTATGCTTAATTAAAAATAAAAAATTTTATAACATGCAGTGGATTTGAAATTATAAAAGAGTAAAGTGTACTTGAATCAAAGTCTTCAAATTTAATATGGGCTTCCAATAAGACAGTAACATAGTGCAACCTCTGCCTAACTTCATTTGCAAGAGTCGTAAAGTGGAATATTTGATACTTCACAGTTGTTCTAAATGACAGACCCACTAGCTCAACTACCCCCATCATGTTCAAAGAATCGAACCACAATTTGGTTTGGTTTTTCCTGTATGAATTATTAAGCAACGTGTAATCGCTATTGAAATATAAGCTATTTTCATCCTCAAATATATATATATATTTTTTCATACGTTAAAATAAAATAAAAATAAAACGTGTTATTTAGTTAGTGTCTATATATAATTTATATTTTTAATTTAGGGTTTGAATCGTATTACATAGAGTTTAATTTTTCATGAAAGACAAATATTTTTCTAGTAACATTTATTTGAGCAGTCGCTTTGATACTTGTTCTTCTTTTAATTTGAAGTATTTTAATATTTGGCCTTAACATTTCATAATAGGATAAAATGATCATGTTTTTTAGGAAACTAGTTAGTCAATGTTTTTTTGTTGACTAAATAAGTACACGTAAATTAAAAATATTGGCATGAACGATATGTCTATGCGTGAGTGAGTAATGACATGATAAAATATCATCATCCGATTAGTTTAATATATGCTTAATTATTTATCCTTTGTATAGAAATCAACATCAAAGTGAACTATTAACATTTAACCCAATTGTTTAAAAATATAACTCTTCACAAGACAAATATTCAATCAAAAATAAAAAATAGTTTACAGAATGCAATTCGCTGAAGTCATTATAATTTCTTCAATTACATATGGAAATCCTTTATTGTAATTGCAAGTTCTTAACAATAGAAAAATAATTTACATAAATAATAACGGAATAAAACATATATCTCAAATAAATGATTGATGTATACATATATGAATATATACATAAACATTTTAGGATAAAAAAGCAACAATAATATTGCAAAAAGTTCACCTAAAATACACCATATGAACCCTTTCATGTATTTCTCTCGGTCCGTTAAATGTTTTGCGCAAAGTCCAGTTTCTGTGCAAAGAGGCCCATTGCAAAGCTCTTGTGTAAGC